TACTTAAATCAAGAGGACTTAAGATTTCCCAAAAAGAAAGCTCAAAATTTTGGAATGAAGTATCTCAATTTGCACCGTGGATCCTGTCAGCAGACATTTCTGATGCAGAGGTCTGGACTAACATTGCCTATCTGGCTCATAAAAAGGAAATCCAGGAAAGACACAATTTTCCCCTTTCTTTTCTCCCCATAATAGCAGCCATCTGACAATGCTTAGGAAACCCACCTAAAACTGAGGAAAACTTACTAGCACCAGGGAATAATAAAGGGGAGGGTTCAAACAATGAAAAAGACCATAAAGATTTCCCAACAGCAGATTTGACAGCCCTAAAAAATAATGAAAAAAACCCTAAAGACTTCCCAACAGTAGATTTGACAGGCCTAAAAAATAAAGAAAAAAATCCTGAAGATTGCCCAGTAACAGATTCAACAGCCCCCAAAATAAAATTTGACCAAGTCAGACAAAACCCACCCATCAACAAAAAAAACCCTTACCCCCCCTCTTCCCCCCTGTGAATCCCCATGGAACACCCAGACTTCAAAAACTCCCAAAGATCCCCAGATAAATCCCCCTCCCCCTTCACCTCCACTGCCGCCACTGCCTGTGGACCCCTCCCACTTCACCTCCGCTGCCGCCACCGCCTGTGGCACCATCCCAGGCACACCCCACAGCCATAGAACAACTCTGTAATCTCGGGGATAATGAAAGTTGCCACCTCCAAAATCTCCAGACACAATGGCCTCAGGACCCAAAAACCCCACCGGTAGAAGCTTTTCCTGTTAACTTACAAATAAGGCAATGCCCACTGGCTTGGTACCCACTCCCAGCAACACATATGCACATATGGACCTGAACAGAATACAGTGTTAATACTTACTAATTCTGTTGGCTATAATGTCACGTTACATGTTCTTTAAAAAAAAAATTTTTGTGTACTGTGTATGTGTATTTGCTGGGTTTTCGTGTATGTGCTCATATTATTATTCTGTGTACTTTTCTGAGTATATGAAATATTAGAAAGTTTTTAAGGAAGATAGATGCCTAGCTTTTCAGTTGATATTCAGTTATAGTCAACATTCCTTCTAGGAAGAAACGAACATCTGATGTGCAAAATAGACATGCCTTCTATGAGTGCTAGTGTTCTGTTTGTGCTAACTAATGTAGTTGAACAGAAGGATGGAAGTTTTGTGTAAATATTGCGTAAGAGAATTCAGAACTTTGGTAATTTGTAGGTAATGGGAATTTATTGCACAATACAATGACTAATTAGTGTTATGTTCTTTAAAAATGTAAAATTGTGATCTTACATGTTCGTTTCTTCCAGAAAAATAACAGATCCTACAGCCAAAGCAATGCTTTTAAACAACCTTGTCTGCAAAGGGATAACCCCTGAGCACAGACAAACATGCCAGGGACTAAAAAATAACCCTAATACTATGTTCTGGAAATTTTATGTCAGAGAAACAGTTCAAGGAAAAAATCAGGTAATCAGAACCACAGACTGCCCCCTAATGGGCTGTCAAAAACCCGTAGAAATCATAATACACCCAAATGCTAGCAGATATGGAACTAAGGAATATGTTTGCTTCCCTTTTTGACAAAGAGACCCATCATGCCTCAAGGAAGTTGATACCTATGATGGCTGCCGCTATTTCAATTCCTGTAGATTGGAACAAGGATTCACTGGGAGATATCAGGGCATAACAGGACAGAGAAGACCCATCTACCTAAAGGATAATAATTATCTCTATGGGAACCATGACTAGTCCCTAATATATATTGCAGATTCATGGGACGATCGCTGGTGTATTGGAGTAATAGGAAAGTTCTACTCAGGTGCATTCTCTAGCTACCCTACAGCTGACTTTCATATCTCTGGACAGCTTGTACATGCAGCTAAGTTTGTGCTAACTCATCATAATATTATTTTACAGGAAAAACAAACAGAGGACCAGATAAGATCAACTATGTCCTGGAGCAAGTACATTCAATATGTTGCTAACTTTCTTCCCTTCACCACCCACCCCAATGCCTCTAATTGCTTCTTTTGTGATCCAGCAATAGACCTTCACTGACAGCAGTACCAGTTAACACCACCCTTCTGTACCCAGAAACAAAAAAGGATTTCACTGACTCTCTTCTAATGGATATTCCCTTATTCGAACAACTGGCTAACTATCCAATTTTCATTTCCAGCAAGAGTAAGCCTACTCATTACAAATGCCTCACTAACATTACTCTCTCCAGTATAGCATGCGTCACCCCTCCTCTTTTCCTATGGTGCAAAGGAAAAGCCCCAAACTGTGTTAATTCCTCTTTGTCCACCTTTTGTATACCGGTGATGATTACACTCCAGGTGTACCTACTTGAGAAAGAGGAAGCCGCCCTCCTCCTTCACACCTGCCAGCGGAGAGAAATCTTCATCCCTTTGCTAGTGGGGCTTGGACTTGCCCTCTCCCTGGGTGCTGGTGGTGCTGCAACTGCTGCTATTGTACAAACCCATCACCTGGCAGGAGACTTTCGAGACAAGCTGGACCAGCCTCGAGTCTCTCCAACGCCGACAAATGAACTCTCTTGCCAGGGTTGTGCTCCAAAACAAGAGAGCACTGGACTCAATAACTGCTGAACATGGGGGGATGTGTGTAGTATTGGGAGATGTCATTTTGATGCTTGCTCCCTGTTTCATATGATTTCTTCACTGACAAATTACTACCATTGCTAAAATTACTACCAAACAGGTCATGGTCAATTATCAAACCTTGGATTCTCCCGAGATAGATGAGTTGGCTCTTAAGGCTTCTGATGACACTTCTCCATTTTAAACCAAACAGGGGGCGATGTTGGGAAACCCTGCTGTTAGGGCTGTAGTTCTCCATGTCTGGATAGCCCTGAGGGGCTCGGCGCCAAATGGAAGAACTCCCCTTTCCAACAGGGGGCCTCCTGCTGTCTTCCTGGCTCACCTTGAAGTGCCACCAAACACAGATGCCTTATCTGAAATATGACCTTTGGCATAGTTACCTGGAGTAAAAACTACTCCCAGGTTTTTTCTATATGATAATCGGGCATTATCTGATAGTCTGGAAGATAGGAGCCCACTGCCACATGTAAACAAAGCATACTATGAGCACCTATCAACTGAGGCTTTTGCTACTGCCTCCACACTATAAATTCTCTAGTTCTCCCACGAATAAATGGAGCTGTTTTTCACTGTGCCTGGAGCTGTGTCATTGCTGTTTCACTGCGCCTGGGACCAGCCTGTGATCAGTTTCCCCGGAAGAGCTGTCTTCCATCAGCACCCACTGGCCGTTCTGACCCCATTCACCACTTCTGCTCTCCCTGCCCTCGTGGACCAGTGGCTAACGACCCGCGATGAGAGAGAGAGCCTCCCACAGCTGGCCCGAGCCTCCCGCAGCTGGCTCCCAACAAGAGCCTCCCCGCAGACTCCCTTTTTGAAAATTTTTATTATTTTTTAATTTATTTTTATTTATTTAATAACTACATGATTAGAAGAAGCATTTCATAATAGCTTTAATATATTCAATTACAATTTCCAGAGCAAAGATACATCTTTTTCAAAAGTGGCTATAATTTTTAGGTTCACTGTTCAATTAATACAATTATACAATATTGAACTCAGTATAAACCCTGTAAAACTTAAGACTGAATGAGTTTTAAACCTTTCAAAAAGATCTCCATTTCATTTTAAAATATACTGTTTCCTACAGAAAGACTCATTTTTAATGCTACTAACACTTAGATGTTTGCACATGCATTTCTAATTTCTGTGTATCTGATTATTACTAGTGCAAGTCGGTTATACTCAGTTCCTTGGCACCTGATTATGGATATAAAGCCATCAGGTGGATTTCAATGGTAATGTTTGTCACCTCTACTAATTAACATGAAGTACATTTTTATGCTTCCACCTCAAATATAACTCATTTTTTAATTTGTTGATTTTTGTGTATGTATATCAACAGAACATACCAAATAATCTTACTCATCTATATGCCCACTTCCCAAATGGCACCCTCCCATAGCCCCACCTCCACCCCACTGGAGCCCATATACTCTGTCATCCCTGTTACCGTCCACTGCATTGTTGGTGCTCCCAGCACTTCCCCAGTGTTTGTCCCTCTGCTGAATCTTGTCAGCCTATCTAGAGTTCCTTGTTTTAGGAAGACCAGCTGTTCCTCATCTAATAGCAATCAGTTGTCAATATTCCTTTAGATAAGATTGGGGTCTGCTGTTCATTTTCCCAGTTCTATGCTGGGGTACTGTCTGGGAGTCTCTTGGGCCACCCTGGCCAACAACTCAAAGGAAGGTATCTCGTGTCTGGCATTGTTTCTTGTTATGTAGCCTTTAGCTATACACATGGACTCTTAAAAATTACATTAAAATCATATACCCAAAGATCCCTTTAATCTTTGGGCATACTTTGATGGGCTCACCAGATGTTGCGAGAACCATGATGCTTTCCAAGCAGAGACACTTCTCTCCTGGTGAACCCATTCCAAGGCACCCTACCCTTCACAAAGAAAAGAGAAATCACCCCAGGGCTCCCGCCAGCTTCTCCCTATCATAGACATCAAATTACTCTTCCCAAACTCCTGAAGTTGGTCCTTTCCTGCATGTCCAGCTGATCTACAGCAATTTTTAATGCCAAAATCTCCCTTGGAAGACCTGCACACATGCTTTCTCAACTCCCCAGCCCCACTGTCCCTGTACCTGACTGATAAGACCAACACAATATCCCTCTGAGTTACAGTTTGGGAAATAAGGATATTTTATTTTGGCTTGCCAACAAAGCTTATGCTTTTCAGGAGGCAGTCACTTACAAAGGCATGAAGGTCCCTGGGCTTTTTCCCATACATCTCGGCTCTGCCACTGCCAGTGCCTTGCCAACATGGTGACTTTCCCTTGTTCCCGGCTTCCTCAGCATCTGTCTTTAGACCCTATCCCTCATGCAAGTGAAGTTGACCGACTGGGTGGGAGGAGTGACTTGTTTCCTGCATGGTTTTTCTCCTCAGTCATTGTCCATAGGACTCTGGCAAGTAGCAAGACTATGCAGGTATAGACTCAAAGCCTATCTTCATCTCCAACATTCTGGAAAGGGACTGTACATCATGGGGCAGAGCCCTATGCTCTCCTATACCACAAGGTCAGGGCCTAAGGAGTGACCTCCTGTGGTATCCACATTGGACAAGAACAGATCTTCTTTAAGAGAGTGTATCTAGCTAGACTTACTAGACACCAATGGACAAACTTGCACCAAGGGACATCTAGATAAAAATGCTTGACTGGATAGAACTTAATATATATTATATAGTGCATGAAATCCAGTGAGGGGGTATAGAGGGGTCAAGGGGGGGTGTCTAATTTGATTAAGATCTATTATATGAAATGCACAACAACTCAATAAAAGTATTTTTTTTTAATGAAAACCATATTATATCTGTTTAGGGGCTGGAGAGATGGCTCAGAAGTTTTGAGCAGTGGTTGCTCTTGCATCAGAACCAGGTTTGATTCCCCAGTACCCATATGATGAGTAGCAACTGTCTTTAAATTCAGTTCCATGGTATCTGACACCATCTTCTGACTTTGTGGAAACTGCATGACACTGATACACCTATTTACATGCAGGCATTATACTCATACACATAAAATAAAAATAATAAATAAAATATTTTAAAATGTATCTGCTTAAAACAGTGGTATCTAATGGTATCCATGTCCTTTTGTGAAGCTATAGTTCTATAGTGAACAGGGGTTTATTAGGTGTATAGAGGGTAAAGTGAAGCATAAAATGTGATCTGTGCTCATAGGACCTTCCCATCTTTAGAGTCAGAAAATCTCAACCTCTTTTGAGAATCAGTGTTATTCTTTTCTCTCCCAAACATTTCCTTTGTAGTCTCACAATGTTGACCTATATGCAGAACTCTTTGCTATCTGTTGCACACAATAGCTTACAAGATCTGGCCCTCTACTTTATTTCTGATTTATTCTATTTCCCTGATTTTTTCCTTTATTTTCACTCCTTTCTGATATTCCTAGAACATGCCATGCTGGCTTTTTTGTTAGACACCCCTTCTGCCTGGAGCTCTTTTGCTTTATATAGTTGCTTACTCAAAACCTTCCTTATGTCCTTAATAGTCTGGTAAAATATCTTCCTTCCATGTTGACACATTCCCTATCACATCTCAACAGCCCTGACTCCTTACCTGGCTTGAACTTTTTCACAGGATTTATCACTATCATGCTGTATCATATATTAAGTCTGTTTTTATATCAATAGATCATAAACATTGATAGATTCTATCAATAGATTGTATTTAACAAATATCACAGTGCTTGATGAAGCAAAGCATCAGAACAAGGCATCAGAAATCTAGAATAGTACAAATTGTCATCTTGGTTTAAATGATTAATTTCAGAAACAATATAATTCATTCTTATTAGAAGTATTTTTCCTTAATTGTCTACTTGTGATTAAATCTAGTGAAGCCCAAATATGCTCATGCAGAAGCTTGTATGTGTAGGCACTTATTCTCTGAGAAATACGTTGTGTGGAAAAATATTTCCTTCCTAAACCCTACTCTTTTCTATCAAATGATTCTGCTGAACTAGCTCTATTAAAATAAGGGTAAGAATGGGCCAAATAAAGATTGCATTTTAATGACAGAACCAAGATAGTGTACACTGGGATTATTTAGTTGCAGTAATGTAGATCTTAGATTGCATTTATTCCTGATGCTATGATAAGCACTTGAAATGTATATTCAGCTGGGAATTGAGAACTCTGGATTCTTTCCTTCATCCCTTCATGTTGATTATCCTTGGACAACTCCTCTCACTTTCTGGATCTCAGATTCTATAAATGTAGAGTGCAAAGGTTGCATATTTTATATGAGTCTATGATTTATATATCATTGCTATAAAATGGAAAATAATAATTTCAGACAATTTTATGAGCAAAAGAAAGGAACCAAGTATCTTGTTTGGAAAACTAAGACTTTAATATTTCCAAAGTGAGAGTTGTCATCAATCATCATTTTATTGTATTTTAACAATAATCAGGGCAGCAGTAGATTTGGAGAGCTGATCAAATGCTAATTCTGTAGATTATATCCTTTCTGATCTGATTATGTAGATGATATGGTTGCAGTTGAGATAGTACAATTAACTGACCAGATTTAGTTAAGAGAAAATGGAGGAAGAAATAAGCATTGAAAAAGGACAAATATATGCTGGGTGTGTGCTGCACACCTTGAATCCTAGCACTTGGGAGACAGAGACAGGCAGATCTCTGTGAGTTCACAATCACCCAGGCTGCCATGGTCACATAGAGGACATGGATGCAGTTCCCTGAACCCATATGGTGGCTAGTAACCATCCGTAACTCTAGTTCCAGGGGATCCAATGCCCTCTTCTCATCTCCATGGCCATTGCACACACACAGTGCACTTACATATTTGCATACAAATCATAAACACACAAAAATAAAACCAAATCAAATGTAAAAATTGCAAATATAACCTCAATTGTTAGGTAAGTAATAGCTTTTCCAACATGGCTTCTTAATAGAAACATCAAAAAGGAAATAACATCTTGCCAGCTAGATTTTAAGACACATTAGACCTCTATGTTTAAACTAGAGTGCTGCGTTCAAGTATGTCATTCACAGTGAAAAAGATTTTATAATTTAACAGAAGCAAAATAATACCCAGTGGGTAACTATAACTTCCAAAGTGTGTGTGTGTGTGTGTGTGTGTGTGTGTGTGTGTGTGTGTTTATCTGATTTTTTTGTTGCTGAATCCTTAATTTCAAATAGGTTAACTGTGGAAATGTATAAGATTTTAATCAGTCCTAGAAAATAAGTGTTGAAACTTGATTATTTGCTAAGCATTGGAAAAAACTACATGAATGACACAAATTCTTACCTTCAGGGAATTTGGATTCTACTGAATAAGTCTAATTTATAATTATCTGTTACTTAAACACATTTTAAAAGTCTAGAAACATTAAGGAGCTCAATAAATTATTAACTGAGGACAGAAATAGTGCAAATACAATAGACATGTATGAAATTCTAAAAAACAATAAATTTTAAAAATTAAATTTCTTTTTCTATAGCTATATCTAAAATTGATATGATGAAAACTTCTTGGAAGTAACCATACAGATAAATGAAGCAAAGATTTTCTAGTCTAAGCAAGGAGAAATGACTATTTGGAGACATTGCATGTGAGCAGGTTTCTGGAATTCACATGCACACATGTCATTGTAAAGGATTCATTTATATGTGCTCACAGTGAAGTGGGTGGATTCACATACCCACTGACAAGCTTGCTTCATTTATAATACCTTTATAATTCTAAGCAATTTATTATCTTTATCAAGTTTCCATTTTCAAGAATGTCTAGACTAGTTAAGGCCATTAGTGGATTCAAATTACTATTATAGCCTACTAGTTGAAACCAGTGCTTATTTAGATTAAAAAGAAGAAAGGAAGGATTGATTTCTCCCCAAACAAATTCTGAACAATCTTGACTCTATCCAACTGAAATCTTTATGTTTCATATTTATGCCTAATTATTTAAATTGATCTTATTATATAGCCCCTTTTCTTAAGACTAATAATTATCATTACCAATAGAATTTAACAGCTACCAATTAAGATTTAACATATCTAAGCTGTGTCATTTTAATCACAATATCTATTATATTTCATTAGAAGAAATAAAATTGCTTTAAAACACCATTATCTCATTATTAGAACTCAACTTTAATGATCCTCTTACCTGCCAGTACACATAGAATAGTGATTACTTCTTACTTTATGTGGCTCTGGTTAAGTGAGCACAGAAGCTTGGAAGAACAGCCCTACTGCCCAGCTGAACAAGGTCTTAGAAGAGAGGCAAGGGCAAATTTTTATCTATAGCAACCAAATCAGAAGGAATTCAAAACACAGTATATTTAATGTGTACCTATAAATGTGTGTCTTTATACTCATAGATTAATTTAGCATTCAGTCTTCATCAAAGAAGTATCTGTGCAGTGGACAGAGGTTGACAGACATACAACTGATCAAAGCACAGATAGGGTGTGTCTGTGAGTTCTGAGCTGTAGTGGGACATCTATAACACATTCCTTCTTTGCAAAACTCAGGGAACCTCTAGGAAAAGAGGGAGAAAGTTTGTAAGAGCTGGAGGTCAGGCAGAACCATGGCAAAACAGTGTCTACTGTACATGAAAAGAGCAATAAACTCATGAACTCTTAGCAGCTGTTGTCACCTACACAAGATCAAGGCAGTCAACTTTACAGCCTGAATGGGCGAGGGGCATATGAGTCTCCCTCCACTAGCTGGGAAGTTGATGGCTGCTGTGAGAGGGACACTTTTTATGTATTTTATTAGATCTTTAAAATTTTCATGCAGTGTATTTTGATTATATTCATTTCACATATAATTCATTCTGATTGTATTCAACTCCTCCCAGGTTTACATCCCATCCCTACCCACCCACCTTTAAACCCAGTACTCAGGAGGCAAAGTCAGGCAGATCTCTATGAAACTGAGGCCAGCCTGGTCTCCATAGAGAGTTCCGGGCCCCCATCTAAAAACTAATAGAGCCTAATATGTGTAGCCCATATACTATTGGATGCTTGGCCATCCCCTGAGCATTTTTGACATACCAGGTACACACTTAAAAAAATACTGACTTTCCCTTGCCCAGTAGCTATCAGTTGCTAATAGTTCCTTAGCTAGGTTGGGAATTTGTGCCCACCTCCCATCTCCATGCTAGAATTTTGTTTGACTTGAGCTTGATCAGGTCTTGTGCATACTGCCACCAATTCTATGAGTTCATATGTTTACCTTCCCTGTTGTGTCTGGAAAATATTGTTTCTTTGTAGCTGTCTACCACCTCTGGCTCTTCCACTATTCCACCATGATCCTTAAGCTTGAGAGGAGAGGATGTGATACAGATGATTCACTATTGCATAGTCTTGTTTTCTCTGCACATTAACCAGTTGTGTGTCTCTTTGTTAATCTCTATCTACTGCAAAAAGTAACTTCTCTGGTGAGTGTTGAGTGATGCACTCATGCATGGGTACAATAAGTCATTAGGAGTCAGTTTAACATTACGTCCATTTAGGAGAATGATAGTAGTAAGTTGTCCCTAGGGTGTACAACTTGACTAGTC